AATCTGCAACAGAAATTTACGCATTTGACTCATTTAGGGTACATTTGACTTCTGCCTTAGGATTAAAACGTGAATACATGGTATTGAAAAGAGGGGAATCTCTAAAGTAAACAGTAGTTGAACAGCTTACTTGCCAGACAAGGCACTAGCTACTTTATGTGCATATGACCTCAATGATCCTTACAATTGCCTTGCAAGGACCACACTGTGAATCACACATGAGGAAAAAGCCTCTGAGAGATTAAGCCATTTACCTGGTGTTAGAAGAACTCATCACTGGTAAGGAATTGAACTCAAATCTCCATAATTTCAGGTCTGATTTGTTTACTTAATTTGTCATTCAAATATCAACTCATGTTTATTCTTGTGTTAATTTCAGCATCAAAGACTTAAAATATTTCTTGCACCATTCAGTCTCTGCAAAAAGGATGTACATTTTCTGCATTCAAATGCTTGAAATATATGTAGTGTGTGAAATTTTAGCTATAAAGTATCTTTTCTACATACATATTACTTGAAACATAGTGGCACTCTATACATATTTGTTGGGCTGGGGATAGCTCAGTGGCACACCACCTGCCTGGAAAGTACAAGGTCCTGAGTTTGAGTCCCAGTATCAAAAAAAACACCAAAAACAAACAAACAAATACAGATTTGTTAAAACAATAGTTATAACAACAACAAAGGATATGAGGAAACACAGCCAGTAGAAATGAGGCTTCCTAGCTGGGTGTGGTGGCCCACACCTATAATGCCAGCACTTAGGAGGTTGAGGCAGGAGGACTGAGAGTTCAAGGTCAGTCTGGGCAGTATAGTGAGTTCAAGGCCAACCCTGGCTCCCATTAAAAAGAGAAAAGAGTCTGATCAGTAAGATAATGGATCTTGGATCTTTCATCTTCCATGCATTTGTGACTAGCTTAACCTGGAAGGAATCAGTTCATGTCTCTGTTCAGTGGAAGAGTTCCTTCATTACTATGTCATAGTCTGGAAAGATGATTCAGGGTACCAAACTCCTTCCCAAGTTTATACTGCCAGTTCTTTCATGCCCATCTTCCCTGTTGCTTTGAAGGAATATTAAAGCTAGAAGGGAATTAAGAGGTGAATGACTGAAATCTTTTTGGATTCCAAAAGAGAAAGATGAGACCCAAAGAAACATTGACTTGTTCAAGCTAGTTAAATTCATCTCAGGTGTCCTGGTCATCAGTTCCCTTTGTATACTTATGCCGCCCTATCTGCAATGTTGTTTTATACAATTTGTCACCTATGGTCAACCTTGGCCTAAAAATGTTTCATGGAAAATTCCAGAAATAAACAACTCATAAATTTTTAAATGTGCACCACTCTGAATAGTATGATGAAATCCTAAACCATTCCCCTCTGCCCTTTCTGGAATGTGAATCATCACTGTATATAGTTTATCCACAAAGCATACATTGCCTGCCCATTAGTTATTTAGTTGCTGTCTGAATTATCAGATGGACTATCCTGGTATCAGAGTGCTTGTTTTCAAGTAACCTGTATTGTACTTAAAGGTGGCGCCAAAGTGCAAGAGTTGGTGATTTGGATATGTCAAAAAGAATGTGTGAAATGTTTCCTTTCAGTGAAAAGGTAAAAAGTTCTCTACTCAATAATAAAAAAAATTGTATGATGAACTTGCTAAGACCTACAGTAGGAATAAATCTTCTATCTGTAAATTGTGAAAAAGGAAAAATAAACTCATATCAATTTTGCTGTTGCAACTCAAACTGCCAAAATTATGGCCACAGTGAGTGATGAATGCTTCGTTCAGAGAGAAAAGGCATAAAATTTGCGTGTGTGTGTGTGTGTGTGTGTGTGTGTGTGAAAATATAGTATATATTGGGTTTGGTAGGAACTTGGAATGTATCCTGCGTAGGTAAGGGGCTACTAGGATACACTCAACTGTATGACACTGCTACCCAGCCAGGCTTTCCCAGGCTGTGCCTAGGGCTGGGTAACTCATGAAAAGCTCTCTGCTTTGCCCAGTATATTACAGCAAGTTTTGGGCTCTGCTTGAGGCCATGAATTTTAACCACAGGCTTTTCTTGGAACCCCTTGAAGAAAGACAATGGCCTAACTGCCTCATGGTTTGATTTAAATAGTAAATAGTGCCAAATTAACTTTCAGATGACAAGGTAAGTAGTAGCTTAGGACTGCAAGCCAAGAAAACACTTATCCAACAATAGTTGATTAATGGAATCAAGGAAAGGTTTTAATCTGGAAACTTGAGAAATGATTTGTTAATATGAAACTTTTCTTCAACTTGGTTTGGGAATTCTAGATTATAAATAAAGTTCAATAATGTTAGTGTCTGTGTAAAGTTGGTGTCCCCATGCTCAAGACAGTTCTAGGTAAATTGATGCACCTTAAGTCCACACTCTTAAGTGAAATAAATCAGACACACATGTGTAAATATTGCATGGTTTCTCTGGTATGAGAAACCAAAAGTGTAAATAAGGAACAAAATGTGTAATAGGTGTTATGAAATAGGAAGAAAATGTTCAAACGGGGAAGGGAACAAGGAGAGAGGAGGAAAGCAAAGAAGGGAAAAGTTTAAAAAATGAGAAAAAAAGGAAAACATGAAAACAAAGCTTTTGTAAATAGGGAGAGGAGGAGGGTTTGAAGGGATGGTGGGGAATGTTATACCATGTACAGGAACAAATTCTCTATGATGAATGTGATCATTATGTATATTTAAAATGTACCAATAATCTGGTTTGAAGAAAAATAAAGTTAGAGTACCCAAAAGTCTTTTTTTGTGCATCCACTGACATTTTATTTCTTTCAGTATGGCTATATATATATTTTTTTTTCCTATGGTTCCCAGTTATTGTCTTAAGATTTGATGATGGCAATCATCTTTTGAATTGGTAGATCAACAATACCACAAAGAGCCTTGTGTGTATAATTTTATTGGTCCTGAGGATATTCTGTGAAGCAAGGAAAGATTTGTGCCTTTCTGCCATATGTGAGGAAAGCAAAGCAGGAAGGAGAGTAGGCAGCAAGTCAAAGACCCAAGGCTAGAACCTGGAGTGTTTCTATCTTCTGATAGTGTTTCTCTCAAAGACTGGGTCAAGCCTCTTACCAAGTGATACATTGAGACTACGTGAAAATTACTAATAGACACATCAAGTAGGTTAGAAGTTGGGGATCCAAACAATGAAACTAAGAAAAAATCCACCAGATACTAGGGAACCATATGGAAATGTTACTTTGATATTTGGTGACCACAGGGGACTTAGAAATAAAGTTCAAATGTTGCTGGGCATGATGGCACACACCTGTAAAACCAGCTTTTAGGAGGATCTCTTTTTGAGACAGGAGGATTGCAAATTCTAGGCAAGCTTGGGTAACTTAGTAGAGCCCTGCCTTAAAATAAAAAGCGGTGGGCTGGGGATTTAGCTCAGCGGCAAAAGCGCCTGCCTGGCAAGTGCAAGGTCGTGGGTTCGGTTCCCGGTACCGGAGAAAAACCAAAAAAAAAAAAAAAAAAAAAAAAAAAAAAAAAAAAAAAACAAAAATAAAAAGCGGTGTGTGTGTGTGTGTGTGTGTGTGTGTAAATGTAGTTCAATGCTCAATGCTGCAAAAAGCTTTTCTTTTATCAAATATTGATTAACAGAGTCAAAGCAAGGAAACCTTTAAAATAAAGCCAAGGCCAGGTGTAATGGGACACACCTGTAGTCCCAGCTATTCAGGAGACTGAGGTAGGAGGATTGCTTAATCCCAGGAGTTTAATACCAACCTTGGGCAACATAGCAAGACTCTGTCTCAAAAAAAAAAAAAAAAAAAAAAGGGAGAGAAAGAGACAAACTCATGCAAGGGTTATGATGCGCTGTCACAGGTCTGATTTTTTTCCTTTTTTAAATTAATTAATTATATTAGTACATTCAACATGGGGAATTTGTATCTGTACATATATATCTTTATTCTTACTTTTCCCATTCTCCTCCCCTTCCTTCAACTCCTCTGAAAATGGAAAGATATCGCTTGCTCTTTGGTACAAAGAACCAGTGTAGTGAAAATGGCCATACTCCCCAAATTGTTATACAGATTTGATGCAATCCCAATCAAAATACCAATAGCATACCCCACAGAATTAAAGAAAAAAATCCTAAAATTCATTTGGAATCAGAAGGAACCTAGAGTGACAAAAGCAATTCTGGGCAACAAAGGTAAGGCAGGGGGGCATAACAACCTCTGACTTCAAATTATACTACAAAGCTATTATGATTTTTTTAAAAAGCAGCATAGTACTGGCAAAAAGATAGACCCAAGGATCAACAGAACATATCAGAAGATGCACACACAATTCCAAACACACTCAGCCACCTTATCTTTGACAAAAGGGCCAAACACATTCACTAGAAGGAAGATAGCCTCTTAATGGTGCTAGAAATACTGGTTTTCCACATGCTTAAGATTAAAACTAGACCCATATCTCTTGAAATGCACTAAACTAAAATCAAAATGGATCAAAGATCTAAATATTAAAACAGAAACAGTAAATCTGCTGGAAAATAGAATAGGTAGAACTCTTGAAGACATAGGTGTAGGCAAAGAATTTGTGAACAAAACCCCGATGGCACAGGAAATGTTACAAAGAATCAACAACTGGGATCTCATCCTATTAAAAAGCTTTTGCATAGCAAAAGAAATCATCAGCAGAATGAAGAGACAACCCGCAGAGTGGGGAAAATTTTTTGCCAGCTGTTCCTCAGACAAAGGACTAATATCTAGAATATATAAAGAACTCAAAAAGAATCAGACAGGGGCTGGGGATTTAGCTCAGCGGCACAGCACCTGCCTGGCAAGCACAAGGTCAAGAGTTCGATTCCTGGTACCAGAACCCCCCCTCCCAAAAAAAAGAATCACACCCTCCAAGTTTAAAGACCCAATTAAAAAATGGGGATCTGAAATGATTGTTTTCAAGCTTTTGTCTGGTGCTAGGGATTGAAAGTAGGGCCTTATGCAGGCTAAGCACATACTTTACTTCCAGAGCTACACCCCGTCATCACAGCTCTTAATAAGGAAATCTGTACATTGCAGGAGTTCAAGTTATTGTTGCTGCATGTTGAACACCTGGAATGGAGAGAAAATCTATATCAATGATATACATTTAAAATGGTTATATAGTTTCTACTATGGGGAAAAAGCTAACACGTAGTGATGGACTTAGAAAATTTCAAAATTTGGCCAGGGATATTGATAGCTCAGTGGTACAGTGCCTTCCTGACAAGCATGAGGTTGTGAGTTTGATTTCTGGTACCAAAAAAAAAAAAAAAAACAAGAAAATTTCAAAATTTGATAGCCTATAAAAATCAAGAAGCTGGAGACAAGAACCTGGGGTTGTCTTGGGGTGGTATGATGAGGGAAGGAGGAGGACAGTAGCTGTGTCCATGTTGTATTATTCTAGGGTCAGCCAGGGCATTCTGAGCTGGGCTTTGATGGGGAAGAGATGACTTCGTTGACTGAAGTAGAGTTAGACGAGGTATATTAGTCCATTTTTCATCACTATAATGAAGTACCTGAAGCAGTCTAACTTCGTGAAGAAAAGAGGTTTATGTATATTTACGTCATAGTTTTATAGGCTGAAAGTCTAAACAGTATGGCACAGGCTGTGGTGATAGCCCCATGATATACAGCAGGAACTCATGTGAGAGGAAGAAATCACATGGCCAGACAAGAAACTAGAGAGAGAGAGCAAAGGGCCAGGCTTGCACCTTGTATAACAACCCCTTTCTCAAGAACTAAGTCCAGGTCACACCAAAAGTACCTTAATACCTTCTAAAGGCATCTGTCCAAAGACCCAAGGACCTCTGAGTAGACTCCATCTCATGTCCTCCCACATTACCACACTGAGGACCAAGATTTCAACAAGTGAAACTTTGGAGGACAAACTCCATCCCCTCAGTACAGCACAGGGAATATTTTCTTAGCCTCCTCACCCTACGTCTTAGGCAATATTAATGATGCTCTTTCATTCTTCTTAAACTGGGAGGATCAGAATTCTTCCTTTGCTCCTAGAGATCACAGGATGAGCTCTGTGTAGCACCCACTTTCTTCTTATTCTGGGAAGCTCAATTCTTTTGCTTCTCAGATTGCGTGGGATTGATGTATTGCAAGCGTCTTTGAACAGTTCTGTGTGAATATAACATGGAGGCACCATTGTCAATATCGGCTGTGAAAGCACCCCTGGAACTATGGCTCTAGGGATGGAGAAGGGCCTCTTAACAACAGCAGTTCCCAGCCCTGCAATTTAAAAACCGGGCCCTGGTGGGTACTGAGTCCGATTAGTTTAACATCTCCTATGCTCTTGGTATTTATTTCCTCACATGAGAAGTGACCTGATGAACCTCACAGACAGAATGCTCAGCAAAATGAGCCAGACATAATGAAGTACATAATAAAGTACATGCTGAAGAATTCCACTTACATAGCATTCAAGAATAGGTAAACAAGCTGGGCATGGTGGTGCACACCTGTAATCCCAGCACTTGGGAGGCTGAGGCAGGAGGATCCTTGTGAGTTCGAGACCAACCTGGGCTACAAAGTGAGCTCATGGCCAGCCTGAACTGCATAGCTAGACTCTGTCTCAGAAAAAAAAAAATAGGTAGACAAAACTATGTAGAATAAAAGAAAGATCAAGAAATGGGTGGCAGCTGAGTAATACTCCATTATATAAAAATACCACATCTTTTTATCCATTCCTCAGTTGATGGGCATTTGGGTTGTTTCCAAGATCTAGCTATTACAAATTGTGCTGGTATAAACATGGGTGCACATATACTGCTGTGGTGTGATGTTTTGAATTCTTCTGGGAAAGTACCCAGAAGGAGAATAGCTGGGTTAAGTGGGAACTCTAATCCTAGTTTTGTGATGAATCTCCACACTGATTTCCACAGTGGTTGCACCAGTCTACGCTCCCACCAGCCAGCAGTGGAGAAGGGCTCCTTTTTGCCCACAGCCCTGCCAGCATTTGTTATTGTTTGATTTCTTGGAGATGGCCATTCTTTCTTGGGTGAGATGGAAATTCATTGTTGTTTTAATTTGCATTTCTCAAATGACCAGTGATATTAAACATGTTTTCATATACTTATTTGCCATTTGTATTTCATCTGACAAGTATGTATTCATCTCAGATGCCCATATCTGATAATCTGAATAACTAATTTGAACACAACAATATGCAATATAACAACCATTGGTGAATTCCTACCATCATGTTTAGTAAAGCTCTGTATCGTCTCTAAATTTTTTTATCATTTTTTATTCTCTTTAATGGTTTGATCAATCTTGCATTCTTACATCTGGTAATCTGAGCAACTTGGTTGAAGATAACAATGTGTAATATAACAACCACTGTTAATTCCTATCATTTTGTTTTGAAACCCTTCATTATTTTTACTGTTTTTGCTTTGCTTTGTTTTTTGTCTATGTTATGGCTATTTTGTTATTGTTTTTATATTCTTTATAAAATTAGAAAAAGAAATGGGTGGCAGAGGGAGGGTGGGAAGGGAAAGGAGATGAAAAAAGAATTAAGATGCTTCATGTACAGGTACCAACTCCACACAAGTAATACAAACATTATGAACTACATATGTACTAATAAAGTAAAATAAAAAAATAAAATAAAAAACAAAAAAGAATAGGCAAAGTCAGTTGGCAATGATAGAAATCAGAGCAGTGGTTACCTCTGGAGATGTGACTGAATGGGAGGTGGGCATGAAGGCCTGAGTGGTGGTTATAAGGATATATATATTTGTCAAGCTCATGGTAATATACACTTAAAACTAATAATATGTCTTAGTGCATGTAATTTAACACTTCATAAAAAATTAAACTAGGCACAGTAGTTTGTGCCTAAAGTCCTAACTACTCGGGAGGCTAAGGCAAGAGAATTGCTTAAGACTAGTAGTAGTTGGTCTCAGTTTGGGCAACAGAGTTAGATCCCATCCAGAGAGCGAGAGAGACAGAGACACAAAGAGACAGAGACAAACGAGTAAAAGAGAATAGGAATGAAAGAGGAGAGGGAGGGAAGGAGAGAGGGTGGAATTAAAAGCAATGGTCTCTTCACTGACAGCCAGCTCATCTACTCAAAAGCCTCTGTCTGCACTTTCCTGGTGGTATGATCTGCTGAGAGGCAATGTTGTGTATGATTGTAAGAGCAAGCAGATGTGGGAGGGAATCCCACTTCTGGCACTTGCAGGCAATATGACTGACCTGTGTTTCTACTTCTCATCTGTAAAATGTGGATCATAACAACAGTAACTACCTCTCAGGGCTGTTTTGTCATGAAGCTGAGATGAAATACTGTATGGTAAGTGTTTGACCACTTAACGGTGTTTGATTAACCTTAGTTAGATTTTCCTGCTATAGTGACTATAACTATACTAGTTTTCAAATTTGGTTTAAAAAATTCTCATTTGTTGGGGTTTAAATCTTAAATGTCCCCCAAAGGCCATGTGCTAAAGGTTTGGTGACCAACCCTTGGTGCTGTTGGGAGTTGGTAGAGTCTTTTGTTTTTATCTTTGTTTGTTTGTTTTTTGGTGTTTTGAGACAGGGTCTCATTATATAGCTTGGGCTGGCCCTGAACTCAAGGTGATCCTCCTGGCTCAGCCTCCAATGTGTTGGTATTATGGGTGTGTGCCACCACACCTGCTGGAGCTGTTAAAATTTTTAGAAGGTGGGGCTCAGTGGGAGATCCTTAGTCACTGGAGGCATGCTCCGGAAGGGGATATTGGGATGCTGGCCAGTTCCCCTTCCCTGATGTCATGAGATGAGCAGCTACCTTCTACCACGTGCTCTCCACCATGATGTTCTGCCTCACCACAGGCCCAGAGTGATGGGGTCAAGGGATCATAGACAGAAACCTCTGAAACTGTGAGCCACAATAACCCTCTCCTCCTTTAAGTTGATTTTCTCAGGTATTTTATGAGAGAGATGAAAACCCTGCTAACATACCATCTTGCCCTGCTTCCACAGTTTCTGATTATATCGGTCTGGGGTGAGACCCACGACTCAGTAGTTTAAAAAGCTGCCCAGATGATTCATAAGCTCAGTCAGAGTTGATGACCACTAAGTTAGATTTATATCACCATTCAAATGCTGCCTATTCCTCTATGTAGATATTCCTGGTAATTCCAGCTCTTAGGGTTTCCTCTTCTCTGCACTCTTTAAACTTGAAGTATAACTGCCATACAGTACAGTGTTCAAGCCTGAAGTGCACAGCTCTCTGAGTGTTTCTATATGTGTACACGCATATAACACCACCCAGGTCAAGACACGGAGCATTGCCATCACCCCAGGAAATTTCCTTCTCCCTTCCTGCCAGTATCTCCCTAGGGTACTGGCCATGCTGATCTTTCTCCCCGCAGATGACTTTCCTTTGAGTTGAACCACTCCTAAATTCTTGTTCCTTTTGCCCTTGTATCTCATGGGTACAAACAAGATTCACTCTTATCTGTTTGGTTTTCATTTACACCTTCCTCATGTATGCATACTGAACCTTTCTTTGCTTCTTTTTGAGTCTTGTCCCTGGGGCAAATTTAAACTCCTAGGCAGGCGTGGTGGTGCATGCCTATAATCCCAGCACTCAGGAGGCTGAGGCAGGAGGATTGTTGCAAGTGAGACCAGCCTGGGCTACAAAGTAAGCTCAAAACCAGCCTGAACTGCATGGTGAGACCCTGTCTCAAAAAGACAAAACAAAACAAAAAAACCAGATTTAAACTACTTCAGGGCAGGAATTGCCCACAGGTTTAGCACATGTTTATGCACATAATAGAGGATAGATAATGGAATAATCCCAGGGTTGAAGGAATGAGAGGGGAGATACAGTAAGCAGACAATTAGATCAAAACAAAGGCTTCTCTCTCTTCATTCTCTTCCTTATACTTGCAGATTATTTTCACCATTAACACTTCATATAATATGGGGTTTGTGCATATTTTTGCCTGTGGGAGATAATGCATACATCTGACTTTCAGGTTGCAATGTGGACAGCAGGGCAGGAGAGTTGGAGGAGAAAAGGTTAGATGCCAAATTAAAGAGAGCTTGTTCTGGCTCCTACTGTGAAAGAACACTGGACTGGGAGTTAGAACCCTAAATTCTAGTCCCTGCTCTGCCACTAACTTGTGTGATCTTAGGCAGGTAACTTCACTTTTCAGAGCCTCAGGTTGCTTGAGGTACAACAGAGGCAATTATTTTGATATTTCTCACTCCACAGGAGGTCAGTTGGGCTCATAAGTGGGAAGGCACTTTGGCTGAAAGAATTAGGGATTCTTTCAACAAGCAGAGAGGTGGCTTATATTACCAAGTCAGGTAGACAGGGCTGTTTTAAGATTTCAAAAAGACTGGGATGAAAATGCAGGGAGGCTGCGTTCATACAATCATAGAAAATTAGAGCCAGCAGGTACTTTGGAGAGCGTTTCTAGTCCAATCCCCTCATTTTGCTTGGGAAATTATCCCCAAGGTCTCACTAAACTGATCCTGGATCCGAGGCTCTTTTTTTTCTTCTTGTTGTTTTCTTTTTTTTCTTTTTGTAGTACTGGGGATTGAACCCAGGGCCTTGAATTTAGCTACATCCCTAGATCTTTTTTAAAAAAATTTTTTTTTGAGACAGGGTCTCTCTATGCAGTTCAGACTGGCCTTGAGCTCACTTTGTAGCCCAGGCTGGCCTCGAACTCACAATGATCCTCCTGCCTCAGCTTCCTGAATGCTGGGATTACAGGTATGCGCCACCACGGCTGGCCAATCCTTAAATCTTTTTGAATGGTTTTATTTGAGATAGGGTCTTGCTAAATTGCTAATGGTAGGGTCAAACCCAAGATGCTCCTTCTTCAACTTCTCAGATTGCTGGGATTACAGGTATGTACCTTTGTAACTGGCATCTAGGTTTCCTTCTTATCCTGTACAACATGGCCTTCCTTAAAAAGCAGTTCATTTGCTCTTGCTAATATTTGGAGATAAGAAAGTTCTGGACTGTATACTAGGAAAGACATGATCTGGATATTTGTCTGAAGTTTTTTTATTATGTACAATTTGACACACTGTTGCAGCTAAGTTCCTGCCTTTTAGCTATGTGGACAAAGATCTCTGAGTGTTTATTTAGTGCTTACTATGTATTTGCAATTCCAATACGTGCTATGGGGGCTTTACCAAGATCAAGACCCTTCTCCTGCTCTCAAAGAGCTGGGTGTGGGAGGCAGTACTCACAGGAGAGAACAGTGGAAGGCAGTATGTGACTTAGAATAAAATGAGTAGTGCAGGCAATAAATGCTGTAGAAGTTCAGAGGGAGAGAGCTGTAGGAGCTGAGGGGAATGGGGCTGGGGAGAATTCGATTTCCTGTGGCTCTGAAGGATGGTAGAGTTGTTTATGCAGATGTGGGGGAGTACAATGAATTCGAGTGTGTATGTGTCCTTGAGGAAACACATGTAAATGCACAGGTGGGTTACAACAGGTACCAGTATGTACTTTCTACTAGTTACTGCATAACATTAAAAAATTTGAGTCATTTAAATGTGTATAACTCTAGGAATTAGATGATAGTATCTTTCAATTAATAGGCAGGAAACTGAAGACCAGAGAAGTTGAGTAAATTGCCCAAGGTGACATGTCAAGTAACTGGCACCACTGGGATTAGAGTCAGCTCCTAAAACCATTTTGGTATTTTATCTAGAAAATGAGGAATTTGTGACTCAGGTGAGGAAACTGGCCTGGTTAGAGTTATTAAAGACAGTCATTTTGCAAACACAGGAACAGTTAGGCCAAATTCTCAACTGAAGTTCAGTGTGGGAATTGGAGGGATTAATGAAGCCACTTACTGCGCACTTTACCTTTATTTTTATTTCTTTGAAGGCAGGAACTTGAGGTCTCTGGATGTTGCATGACCTTGTCAGGAGCTTCCTCGCTTTGCCCTAAATGTTCCATGATTATGTTGCTGAGGATTTAACAAACCACCTATGGAGAATGAAAGAGTGAGCTGCTGAATCAATATTTGTTTATTAATTACCACTTGAAAAGCATCATGCCTCTGGTCCATGCAGCACAAATCTTGGATGAGGCAGACTACCTGGCTATACTAGACTATTGTACTTTCAGGAGATTGATAATACAATAAATGTGCTTTATGTTTCGAGTCTGGTTTGCAGCCAACATCCAAAAGTCCTTCCTAGGCAAGGTGCCTGGTTTTTTGTTTTTTGTTTTTTTTGGATATTCTTCCAACTCATTATGAGTCTTCAATAAATACAAAATCAATGTGAGGGAATGAAGAGGTCCTTCTCCTATTCTCTGGTCCCAGGAAAAGCGCATGTAGGCAATGGGTAGAAAGCAGTAGCACAGAAGTGCAGAGTGGACTTTGCCCCTTCACACTCAGGGTGTCCAGGCCAGCCTTCTTTCCTATCCAGTAGGTTAGGAAGCAGCTGCTCTTTTGCAGGGAGGGAGGAGGGAAAGAGGTCAGGGGAAGCTTTTCTTCCTGCTGGTTTCCTGGGAAGGCGGTCTGAAGAAAGGGGAGAGGGAGTGTGGGGGGGCGGTGGTGGTCTGAGGTAGAATGAAAACCACCACAGGGGAGCCAGGTGCTCGGGGTGGGGAAGTCTCAGTCCTAGGCACGGAAGGGATGGGGCTGTGGCTAGAAAGGTGGGAGAAACGCTCTCCGGGGTGTTGCAGGAATCTATGTTTCACGGCAGAAGGGAGGAAAGGGAAAGAGAAGGCCATACTGAGCACACCCCTCAAACCAAGCTGGCCCAGCTGCTCATCACTGGACAGTTTTAGTCATTCCACCAGAAATTAGTGAGGGCCGGCTTACATGCTCCGTCTCCGAAGCGCCCCGGAACACAGAGTCGCAGGAGGCGGAGTCAGGCGGCTCGGCTTCAGCGAGGAGGCGAATTGAGTACACGGTTGTGAAGGAGGACTGATGTGCACGCGTGGAGGCTCCACGAGCGCAGAAGACTAGGCAGGCTGGGAGGGGGGGGGAAGGGGGCGGAGACTGAGCCACAGGAGGGAGGCGGAGAACCCGGACGAGGCGCCGTGGGAGGTGTGAATGGTGGGGGGTGCGGGAGGCCGAAGAGCAAAGGAAGCGGGGCAGGGCCGTGGCGGCCCGAGGACCTGGTGGGGGGCGACAAGCTGAACTGGACGGGCGGAGGGACGCAGGACGAGGGAGACGGCGGCGGCGAGGGGGAGGGGGGAAGGAGGAAGAAGTGCGACTGCCTCAGGGAAGGAGGAGCTCTGCGCCGCTGAGGCAGCGCCGGTAGCTGCGGCCGCCGGGGGAGCGAGGCGCTGGGCGTGGGAGCGCGGGAGCGTAGTTCGCCCG